AACCCCCCCCCCCCCCTGTACATGAGGAGTGAAGGCTGCGCCGTGCACTGTTGAGGCTTCATGGTTCAATATTTAGAGATGCCATCACAGCAGCCCTAATTTCCAGCTGCTCTGGACGTGCTCGTGCTGTTGTCAGGCAGACGATAATGGTGTTGTCGTTATTGATGATAACACCGTCATGGGATGGTGATGATCGCTGGAAATATGGTGGGCCATTATCATGATTTAATCGTCGCCTCAGCGCTGCGAGGAACCACACTGACTACAGTGTCAAGTCCACTCATCATGCTGTCACTGGAAATAGCTTCTGGTCTAATGTTAGAATAATTTTGAGTTATGCTCGAGAGGTATAGCTCTGGAGAGTATAAGGAGCTATTAGTATGCACTTTGACTGATGTTGAATGGGCCTGCCCTTTTAAGTTTGAAAACCTGCCACTCTTATTCTCCTCTTGTATTTTGCACAAGATTGAAACATATGACTGGAGCTTCTGCTCACGCCCACGTCCTCTTCAGTTTGCTCTTTTCTTCGGACAGGCCAGACATCTGGAAGACAGGTCAGAATTAAAGTGGCTGCAGCTCTTTAAGAGGACCACTGTCCATCTCTATGCTCATTTTATTTTATTGTAAGGAGGTTTGGCCTTGGAAATCCTTTCCAAAACTGTTACATAACAGCAGTTACTGGAACAGATGTTGATTTGAGCTCAGTATGATTCAAGGAAAGGGTTTGGGAGTGGAGGGACCAAGAGGCAGGAGAGATAGCCCACTGAGCTCTTAAATGAAAACATTATCTGAGATGCTCTTGTAAGTTTAAGGGGGCAGTTCAGTGCGTTGAAAGACAGAAGAGCTATTTCATAAGAGGCTCTCAGGAGAGAGCTGCAAGAATGCTTGGCAGGGTGTGTTTTATTAGAAAATGGATGAGTGTATTCCTTAATGAGAGAGAGAGTATAATGAAGGAAGCATGACAGAAGATGCTGAATCCCTTTCGATACGTTAAAAACTGGGCTGAACACAGTGTGAATGAGAGAGAAAGTTTTTTTCCTGGTGAGGAGAATGTTATTTTAGGGTGTGTTACTTGCTGTAATGTCACATTAAAACTCAATTTACAATGGGGTCAATGAAAAGCTTACTTGACTTAGAGGAAGCAATGGGAGGAGGAGGAATTTGCACTCCTTTCCAAAAATAAGTTTTACCCTTTCCTACGGATTTGTGTTACCACTACTGAAAGGGGAGGAGGGGAATGGTCGGACCGTGAATGGAGGGATTTTGGGTTGGAGAGGAGGAAAAGAACGAAGTGGAGGAGGAAATATGGTTCTGATTAACATGGATACAGTGTATGAGTTGACCATTTTACTGTGTGGTCTGCAGAGAGAGGAAAAAGAGAGAGACAGAGAGAGAGAGAGAGTGGATGGGACTAATAGAGAATGCATGCAAAAGCGTTCTGCCAAACATGAAAAGGGGAGTTTCGGAGAGAAAAGAAAGTACAGCAGAGGGAAGGGTGGGAGGAGAAGTGCTTGTGGGAGTAGTGGCGAACAGAAGGCGCAAAGACAGTGGGGAGAGGAGGGGAGGAGACTGGATCAAGTGTTTGAATTAGTCAGGAGCTGATTGATTGATATATTGATTTAGGGAGAGGAGT